TAATGTAAATGGGGAAAGAGGGGGGGGGGAGGTTCCAGGGAATTTTTTTTCGACAGACAAAAGACTATATATATATATATATATATATATATATATATATATATACACACACACACACACACAATATAAATTTTAAACAATTCAATACTGTACACAGCAATGATGATTGTGAAGCTTGGTTGAGGTGGTGGAGTCAGAGGGTGGGATATTTCCCAGGGAATGCCTTTCTGTGAAATGATGAACTAGCATGCGGCTGAGCCCTCAGGGGTTAACACCCCCTTCCCCCGCCCTCGCACAGCAAGCAGGAGGCTCCCGCGAGCAGCTCCAAGGCAGAGGGCAGGAGCAGCACATGGCGGTGGGGGGAGGGACAGCTGAACTGCCCGGCAATTGATAGCCTGCTAGATGGCTGCCACACAGGGAACTTAGGGGAGCTGATAGGGGGCTGCCGGTCACCCTAGTTCCAAATGCCCACCAGCTAGCTCCAACGGGCTGCTCTTTCTGAAAGCTGTGGACAAAGCAAGCGGCCACCAAAGAATGGTATAAGGAAGCAATTGCGCAACTTTAAACAAGCAAGTTCTCAAATTGATCAGCAATGTAACAATGTTAACCAGGACGACGTTAAGTGAGGAGTTACTGTATTTTCCTTTTGCCACACTCTAATTTTTCAGAATGTCTCCAACTGTAGAAAAGTTAGAGAACAACAGAGGGAAAAGAGAAATTAACTGTGCCACTTGGTAAGGTTCTCAAACTCAAGGACACATTCAAAAGTGGCTGAGTGATCACATTACAGTATAATGTCAGGAGTAACACAAATTCCAGCCCAAGGGCTATTGAATGGTGAGGGGTCAAGGAATGACAGGAAAGAATTGGTTGGAGGAGTGAGGGAGCCGAATCTGCCCTGTAAGGGGCAGCAGTTCCACAGGACTGGTCTGTGCTGAAAAGTTACACCAGCATAGCTACGTTCCTCAGGGGTGTGAACAATCCACATCCCGGAGAGACATAGTTAACTCAACCGAACCACCCACGTGGACAGCGTTAGGTGCACAGATACTGTGATGTGCAGGATGCAGCTGGAACACCAGAGGAACAGAAACTGCAGAAACTCGGGCTGTGTCTTCACTAGAAATGCTGCAGCTGTGCCACTGTAGTGCTAAGCATTAAGTAGCCACTCACTACAGTGAGAGGAGGCTGAAGAGAGCAGGGAGGTTTTTGTGCTGGTCTGTATCACTGTGTGAGAGGGTAGCTGTTATGCTGCTGACAGTAATAATCTCCAGCATCATCAGCTTCTACCCGGCTGATTTTAAAAGTGAAGTCAGTGCCAGACCCACTGCCACTGAACCGGTCTGGGATCCCAGAGGGACGAGAGTTAGTGCTGTAGATAAGAAGTTTAGGAGCTTGTCCTAGTTTCTGCTGGTGCAAAGCCATGTAGCTGCTAGCACTGGAACTGGCTTTGCAGTTGATAGTGACGGTGTCTCCTAGTGACACTGAGAGGAATTCTGGAGTCTGAGTCACAAGGATGTCTCCTCTGGATCCTGCATGGAGAGCAACATTAAAATAAAGGAACATAAAGTCAGTGTAAATCAAATACAGTTTAACAAAGGGATGAGGCAATGTTAGTGTCTTATTCTTCTTTTAAAAGTGTAGCTATATTCATACCTTCTGACACTCCTTATAATTAAGAGCTATTGTGGTCTCAAGAAACAAACTCACTCGTCTATTTAATGTGATTTAGAACATGTCTGTCACTGGCAGTCAGGGATTTAAGAGCCATGGTCCTCGTTACCTACATCTTGGTAACAAATTATTTTAAGTTAACCTCTCCCCTGTTGCTTTCCTTACCCTGAATCCAGAGCACAGAGAGGCAGAGAAGTTGGATTTGTGAGATCATCTTGATGCTTCTAGACTGAAAGAGACTGAGCTGAGGAACATAAACCATTAACTTGTAACATTTATATCTGCCCCAGCTAAGGAACATAAAGCATTAACCTGTAACATTTATATCTGCTCTGTAGAGCAGGGAAATGTCACTCGGGTGGAAATATGCAAAATATCTCTATGTAAATATGCATGCCCTGTGGCCCAGTGCGGAGACTGCAGGGAAGGAGCAAATACCATTTAATGGCAGTGAGAGTTGCAGACAAGGATCAGTGCGGTACATGGCTCTTCTATTTTATGCCTCTGAGTCTTCTCTCTCTTAGCATCAGTTTTAAACAGTGTAATGTGATTGCCTTCAATGGAGTTCTGATCTGCACTGGTGTCCATGAGATTAAGCTTTAGTTTGCCCATATGCTGAGTGTCCTCCTATGTCTGTGTCACTGATCACTTGGAACCATCTTGATTTATATTCAGTGTTTATATTCTTCAGTTCATAGGGATTTTCAGGGGGAAGCAGGGAGGCTTTGCTTTATGGCTAGAATTTCTTAGCTGTTGACTACACAACAATAAAAAGTGTATTTTACAAATGTCAGCGATCACATTTTACAAGTCTCATGGAGACAGGGAAAGTTGTAATGTAGCGGGGAGCCTATGGTTCATTTTGACCAGTTAACCTGTGTTGTTACAGTATATAGTGTAGTGACAATTTTGAATTCCAAGGTGGCTATAGATTTGTCCCCATATAATGCATGTCATGCAGATGTCTTTTACACCATTTTCCTAGTAGTCTACAGAAATCCTGTTGTGAATAACACCTGGTTTCTCTGTTGGGTAGGATCATGATGAGTCGTTATTGATAAATTGTAGGACATTTATCCTCTATGTAAACTTCTCCAAAAGGTGCGAGGATTATATCATGTCAGTGGGAAATTACACGTAACTATTAAGAACAGACAGACATTAAAAGTAGAAGGGAAACTGCTGACTGTAATGTAGTGAATCACTGGGTATGTGAGGGTGAGAGCTCTATGGCCAAGTGGGAGAACTGGACTGTTGGGTGAAGCGTCCAAAGTCTGAGAGACAGGGGGCTACTGTGTGTGACAGCAACAGTTAAACTGAACCTGTGACTGTTCAGAAAGCAGCTGTTGCATCGAGCAATAGAAACTCCAGAGAGCAGGCAGGTTTTTGTACTGCTCCGTATCACTGTGTGAGAGGGGTGCCGTAATAATGCTGACAGTAATAATCTCCAGCATCGTCCCCTTCAACTCGGCTGATTGTAAATGTGAAGTCGGTGCCAGACCCACTGCCGCTGAACCGGTCTGGGATCCCAGAGGGACGGGTGGAAGCGCTGCGGATAAGGAGCTTAGGAGCTTGTCCTGATTTCTGTTGGTACCAGGCCATGTTGCTACTAGCACTGGAACTGGCTTTGCAGTTGATAGTGACTCTGTCTCCTGGAGATACCAACAGCAGTTCTGGAGTCTGAGTCATGAGAATGTCCCCACTGGAGTCTGCATAAAATAATCAGAATATAAGACTGTTCAAATGAATTAATGTCTAACAGAAGGAAACTGCATTTTTTAATTTTTCCAATATTCTTTTCAAACAAGTTGTTAATGTTTACCCTTTTTCTGATCTTACCCTGTATCCAAAGTACAAGGAGCCAAATCAGCTGAGTCTGTGAGATCATCTTGATATTTCTGGACTGACATACGTGAAGAGTTAAACCCTAACATTTATATACGACACTCAGAGCATGGAAATGGCACCAGGGTGGTAATAGGCAAAAGAGCTCTATGTAAATGTGCATTTCCTGTGCCCCAGTACAGAGATTGCAGAGGGGCTGTGCACATTAAATCCCATTTAATTATAGAGAAAGTTGCATTCAGAAAACAAGGATAAGGCTCAATTTGTGTGTTAGCTCAATATCCAGCATTTGTGTTGCTGGTAGCATGTAACCCTTGCTTGGGATCAGGGATATTTCTTTGCTAGAGACTTTGGAATAATTTTCATTAGAGGTGCACAAAGAGGTAAAAGTTTGTTAAGAGATCTGTAGGCCAGGGGCTTGATTTCCTGTTACCTGGCACCTTGTAGAATAATTTACACCTGTGCAGTGTGCGTGCAAAGAGGGTGTTAACACTACAACAGTGAGAGTGAGTGCATCTGGCCTTGTGCTGTTAGGTATTATACACAACTATAAAATACTGTTTTTAAAAGACTGAATGATCCACTCTCTTTTCCTCCATTAGGCTGTATCACTGTTGTATATCCTTGCGTGGAGGTGGTAGCACCAAGTATGAGAGTCTTTAAATCGGAGTTCAATATCTTCATAGAATCATCGATTTTAAGACCAGAGGGAATCAATCGGCTCCTCAGCTAGTCTGAACTACTGAATAACAAGCCAGAATATTTAATTTGCAAACATCCAGGCTTTATAATTACTGTTAAATTGACCCTCTGGATTGCCTGGTGAGTAACATGCCATTAAGTTCTGTGGCACCTTATAGACTAACAGAAGTATTGGAGCATAAGCTTTCGTGGGTGAATGCCCACTTCGTCAGACGCATGCCATTAAGTTGCACACCTGTTGTGTCTTCAGCCTAATCTGCACTATAAAAGGTTGATCGGTACAGATATGCTGGTGTATGCACATTGGCAAAATTCTTGTAGTGTAGAATGTTTTTGCTGGTATAGATAATACCATTTCTCCAAACTAAATAACCTATATTGGCAAAAGTGCTTTTTGGTAGATGTAATGTATCTACACGAGGCCTTCTGCTGGTATCAAAATGTTAAAAATCACACTCCTAACTAACATTACTATACCAAGAAAAGTTTCTAGTGTAGACCTGGCTTTCACCCAGAGACCATGCTCTATAGTATGTACAAATCTGTCTGAGTTTCTCTTTTACTCAGTCTTATTTTTCCATAGCACCTATCACTGTGGTATGTAAGACATGGTGCAGAGGGTTAAAATATTACGTATGACTATAAATAGAAATCCATGAAAATGGTGACGTGATTCATCTCTCTGTAACACCACTTTGACTGTAGTGTAATTGCTGACTTCAGTGGAACTGTGCCAGTGGTAAGCCATGGTAACACAATGGCATGCCATTTTTAAGCAATCACATTCAAGCATATTCAGAAATGCTTGCTCTGTGTGCGATGGACAGTGATATATTTCAGCTCAAATGTTCATTTCTACAGGATCTGACATTGGATCGTAATGTAGTGGGCTAGAGATTCCTGCACAAAACTCATTACAGTGATGATGAATTTTGTTTGTGCTGAACCCACCCAAGCAACACATGGACCCCAGGAGAGGAAATGCATTTTTTACCTAAGACTGACCCACACAAACATTGTGGCATTTGCAGAGAAGATGAAATCTCTGTTTTCCGGTTTGCATTCTGCTTGGGTTCTCCTGGTAGCATTAGGGGACATATGGCACATCCCCCAGCATTAGTAGCAGAGCAGGAGGGCTGCCTGTAGGAAGCTAGGAAAATGTGTGGATGTCACCAGGGCTGGCTCTAGGCACCAGCAAAGCAAGCTGGTGCTTGGGGCGGCACATTTTTAGGGGCGGCATGGCCGGCGCCAGAATGCCGCCCCTAAAAATGTGCCCCGGCCACCCTAGCTCACCTCCGCTGCTGCTGCCGCTCGCGCGCCACAGCGCGCAAAACAGCTGATTCACCCGCCGGTACTCGCCCTCCCTCCCAGGCTTGAGAACCTGGGAGGGAGGGGGAGACTCCGAGTGGCCGCGGTGCGGGCGCCGCTTCTCCTCCTCCCTCCCTCCTAGGCTTGAGAGCCTGGGGGGAGGAGGCAGGG